TCGATTTTCGATTTTCGATTTTCGATTTTCGATTTTCGATTTTCGATTTTCGATTTTCGATTTTCGATTTTCGATTTTCGATTTTCGATTTTCGATTTTCGATTTTCGATTTTCGATTTTCGATTTTCGATTTTCGATTTTCGATTTTCGATTTTCGATTTTCGATTTTCGATTTTCGATTTTCGATTTTCGATTTTCGATTTTCGATTTTCGATTTTCGATTTTCGATTTTCGATTTTCGATTTTCGATTTTCGATTTTCGATTTTCGATTTTCGATTTTCGATTTTCGATTTTCGATTTTCGATTTTCGATTTTCGATTTTCGATTTTCGATTTTCGATTTTCGATTTTCGATTTTCGATTTTCGATTTTCGATTTTCGATTTTCGATTTTCGATTTTCGATTTTCGATTTTCGATTTTCGATTTTCGATTTTCGATTTTCGATTTTCGATTTTCGATTTTCGATTTTCGATTTTCGATTTTCGATTTTCGATTTTCGATTTTCGATTTTCGATTTTCGATTTTCGATTTTCGATTTTCGATTTTCGATTTTCGATTTTCGATTTTCGATTTTCGATTTTCGATTTTCGATTTTCGATTTTCGATTTTCGATTTTCGATTTTCGATTTTCGATTTTCGATTTTCGATTTTCGATTTTCGATTTTCGATTTTCGATTTTCGATTTTCGATTTTCGATTTTCGATTTTCGATTTTCGATTTTCGATTTTCGATTTTCGATTTTCGATTTTCGATTTTCGATTTTCGATTTTCGATTTTCGATTTTCGATTTTCGATTTTCGATTTTCGATTTTCGATTTTCGATTTTCGATTTTCGATTTTCGATTTTCGATTTTCGATTTTCGATTTTCGATTTTCGATTTTCGATTTTCGATTTTCGATTTTCGATTTTCGATTTTCGATTTTCGATTTTCGATTTTCGATTTTCGATTTTCGATTTTCGATTTTCGATTTTCGATTTTCGATTTTCGATTTTCGATTTTCGATTTTCGATTTTCGATTTTCGATTTTCGATTTTCGATTTTCGATTTTCGATTTTCGATTTTCGATTTTCGATTTTCGATTTTCGATTTTCGATTTTCGATTTTCGATTTTCGATTTTCGATTTTCGATTTTCGATTTTCGATTTTCGATTTTCGATTTTCGATTTTCGATTTTCGATTTTCGATTTCGATTTTCGATTTTCGATTTTCGATTTTCGATTTTCGATTTTCGATTTTCGATTTTCGATTTTCGATTTTCGATTTTCGATTTTCGATTTTCGATTTTCGATTTTCGATTTTCGATTTTCGATTTTCGATTTTCGATTTTCGATTTTCGATTTTCGATTTTCGATTTTCGATTTTCGATTTTCGATTTTCGATTTTCGATTTTCGATTTTCGATTTTCGATTTTCGATTTTCGATTTTCGATTTTCGATTTTCGATTTTCGATTTTCGATTTTCGATTTTCGATTTTCGATTTTCGATTTTCGATTTTCGATTTTCGATTTTCGATTTTCGATTTTCGATTTTCGATTTTCGATTTTCGATTTTCGATTTTCGATTTTCGATTTTCGATTTTCGATTTTCGATTTTCGATTTTCGATTTTCGATTTTCGATTTTCGATTTTCGATTTTCGATTTTCGATTTTCGATTTTCGATTTTCGATTTTCGATTTTCGATTTTCGATTTTCGATTTTCGATTTTCGATTTTCGATTTTCGATTTTCGATTTTCGATTTTCGATTTTCGATTTTCGATTTTCGATTTTCGATTTTCGATTTTCGATTTTCGATTTTCGATTTTCGATTTTCGATTTTCGATTTTCGATTTTCGATTTTCGATTTTCGATTTTCGATTTTCGATTTTCGATTTTCGATTTTCGATTTTCGATTTTCGATTTTCGATTTTCGATTTTCGATTTTCGATTTTCGATTTTCGATTTTCGATTTTCGATTTTCGATTTTCGATTTTCGATTTTCGATTTTCGATTTTCGATTTTCGATTTTCGATTTTCGATTTTCGATTTTCGATTTTCGATTTTCGATTTTCGATTTTCGATTTTCGATTTTCGATTTTCGATTTTCGATTTTCGATTTTCGATTTTCGATTTTCGATTTTCGATTTTCGATTTTCGATTTTCGATTTTCGATTTTCGATTTTCGATTTTCGATTTTCGATTTTCGATTTTCGATTTTCGATTTTCGATTTTCGATTTTCGATTTTCGATTTTCGATTTTCGATTTTCGATTTTCGATTTTCGATTTTCGATTTTCGATTTTCGATTTTCGATTTTCGATTTTCGATTTTCGATTTTCGATTTTCGATTTTCGATTTTCGATTTTCGATTTTCGATTTTCGATTTTCGATTTTCGATTTTCGATTTTCGATTTTCGATTTTCGATTTTCGATTTTCGATTTTCGATTTTCGATTTTCGATTTTCGATTTTCGATTTTCGATTTTCGATTTTCGATTTTCGATTTTCGATTTTCGATTTTCGATTTTCGATTTTCGATTTTCGATTTTCGATTTTCGATTTTCGATTTTCGATTTTCGATTTTCGATTTTCGATTTTCGATTTTCGATTTTCGATTTTCGATTTTCGATTTTCGATTTTCGATTTTCGATTTTCGATTTTCGATTTTCGATTTTCGATTTTCGATTTTCGATTTTCGATTTTCGATTTTCGATTTTCGATTTTCGATTTTCGATTTTCGATTTTCGATTTTCGATTTTCGATTTTCGATTTTCGATTTTCGATTTTCGATTTTCGATTTTCGATTTTCGATTTTCGATTTTCGATTTTCGATTTTCGATTTTCGATTTTCGATTTTCGATTTTCGATTTTCGATTTTCGATTTTCGATTTTCGATTTTCGATTTTCGATTTTCGATTTTCGATTTTCGATTTTCGATTTTCGATTTTCGATTTTCGATTTTCGATTTTCGATTTTCGATTTTCGATTTTCGATTTTCGATTTTCGATTTTCGATTTTCGATTTTCGATTTTCGATTTTCGATTTTCGATTTTCGATTTTCGATTTTCGATTTTCGATTTTCGATTTTCGATTTTCGATTTTCGATTTTCGATTTTCGATTTTCGATTTTCGATTTTCGATTTTCGATTTTCGATTTTCGATTTTCGATTTTCGATTTTCGATTTTCGATTTTCGATTTTCGATTTTCGATTTTCGATTTTCGATTTTCGATTTTCGATTTTCGATTTTCGATTTTCGATTTTCGATTTTCGATTTTCGATTTTCGATTTTCGATTTTCGATTTTCGATTTTCGATTTTCGATTTTCGATTTTCGATTTTCGATTTTCGATTTTCGATTTTCGATTTTCGATTTTCGATTTTCGATTTTCGATTTTCGATTTTCGATTTTCGATTTTCGATTTTCGATTTTCGATTTTCGATTTTCGATTTTCGATTTTCGATTTTCGATTTTCGATTTTCGATTTTCGATTTTCGATTTTCGATTTTCGATTTTCGATTTTCGATTTTCGATTTTCGATTTTCGATTTTCGATTTTCGATTTTCGATTTTCGATTTTCGATTTTCGATTTTCGATTTTCGATTTTCGATTTTCGATTTTCGATTTTCGATTTTCGATTTTCGATTTTCGATTTTCGATTTTCGATTTTCGATTTTCGATTTTCGATTTTCGATTTTCGATTTTCGATTTTCGATTTTCGATTTTCGATTTTCGATTTTCGATTTTCGATTTTCGATTTTCGATTTTCGATTTTCGATTTTCGATTTTCGATTTTCGATTTTCGATTTTCGATTTTCGATTTTCGATTTTCGATTTTCGATTTTCGATTTTCGATTTTCGATTTTCGATTTTCGATTTTCGATTTTCGATTTTCGATTTTCGATTTTCGATTTTCGATTTTCGATTTTCGATTTTCGATTTTCGATTTTCGATTTTCGATTTTCGATTTTCGATTTTCGATTTTCGATTTTCGATTTTCGATTTTCGATTTTCGATTTTCGATTTTCGATTTTCGATTTTCGATTTTCGATTTTCGATTTTCGATTTTCGATTTTCGATTTTCGATTTTCGATTTTCGATTTTCGATTTTCGATTTTCGATTTTCGATTTTCGATTTTCGATTTTCGATTTTCGATTTTCGATTTCGATTTTCGATTTTCGATTTTCGATTTTCGATTTTCGATTTTCGATTTTCGATTTTCGATTTTCGATTTTCGATTTTCGATTTTCGATTTTCGATTTTCGATTTTCGATTTTCGATTTTCGATTTTCGATTTTCGATTTTCGATTTTCGATTTTCGATTTTCGATTTTCGATTTTCGATTTTCGATTTTCGATTTTCGATTTTCGATTTTCGATTTTCGATTTTCGATTTTCGATTTTCGATTTTCGATTTTCGATTTTCGATTTTCGATTTTCGATTTTCGATTTTCGATTTTCGATTTTCGATTTTCGATTTTCGATTTTCGATTTTCGATTTTCGATTTTCGATTTTCGATTTTCGATTTTCGATTTTCGATTTTCGATTTTCGATTTTCGATTTTCGATTTTCGATTTTCGATTTTCGATTTTCGATTTTCGATTTTCGATTTTCGATTTTCGATTTTCGATTTTCGATTTTCGACCGGAATGTGCCAGAATTACAAAAGCGTGAATTATCATAATTCACTCCGTGATATATGGGTACTATATGCTTTTAGTTAGGAGGTCGAATATTGATTTATTATTAAGTGGTCGTGGACAAACTTTATAATAATGGTTATATATTCGAAGAAAATTAAAATATTAATTAATTTTAATTTGTACATGTATTTAAGAACACTTCATACATATTATAATTTTTGTAATAAAGGTCAATAAAAGTAATTGTAGGGAATCGTCAACTATAATATGTAGGTATGTTTCGTTGGAAAATACGAATAATTGCATTAATCAACAAACTGCGCCATTTACCCCACTCCGTGTTCGCGTTCCCTAATCTAATCTAAAGTTGTTTTTCTAGTTGAAGTTGGCGGCCCTGAACGAAGCGTACACCGGCGACATCCACGGTGTAAGAGGCGCCGATTACGCCTGTTATCGTGAAGCCCGAAGAGCGGGTCTCCGTGGGACCTTTAGGGCCCTGCTCTCTTCCAGAGTGCAGAACGTAGATTCCATCGTCAGACAAGCCGATCGCAAATTGCCAGTTTGCAATCTCCGAGGAGAGGTCCTGTTTAATTCTTGGTAAGTCATTTATCTGCTTAAGTTATTGGGTATTTACCGTTTCAATTGCTAACGGTGCATATAAATATTTATAGGATTGAGGGATATTTTACAGACGTCCCGATAATTAGCTACAACAACGCATCGTAATTTTTATTAATATTTCCGTAAAAATAATCAGTAATGGTTTTTAGTTTCTTAGAGTAAACTTGATGTTTCCGCTTATTTAATCATATATATATATATATATATATATATATATATATATATATATATATATATATATATATATATATATATACTGTATTATGCGTCGTTCCCAAGCCCTGTCAATTATAAGACGACCTCAGACCAACCAGAAATATTAAGAATATAAAAACAAATGATGTCACTTTTGACATATTTTATGTCAATGAATTAATCCACATTGAGAGGGGTAAGAAAAAAACAAAATTAAATTATACATTCTGTTCAATAAACGATCACAAGCCATTTCAATTTGCCGCCTTCCCATGCCATCATATACTAGTCTTGTATATTTTACCGACGTTTACATACCCTGCGGCGTTGCCAATACCAATATTCAACAACCGCCCGATTATTTACACGAAACAAAAATGTTTTATGTGTTATTGTCAAGTAATTAGATCAACGCTGGAGTTGTTTCAGATTTAGGATTGCGGGCCAGCTGGCCTTTCGCGCACTTCGACCTACTCAGATATTTTATGCTTAACTATTAATAATTGGTCATGGTACTTTGTCTAGTTTGATCTTTTGTAGTAGACTGAATAAACTAGGTAGTAGCTTTCCGGTGTAGCTATTTTTTCTTCAATAGGGATACTTTCCTGACCGTAGTACCGTAGTATAATTTTAGATAAATAAAATATGTTTTAGTTTATCTGGTCATAAGTTTTTATTTTATTTATTTGATAAGCTCCAAATATGTTTTGGAAAACACTTTTTCCCTCTTCTGGTGCAGTTAAATAATTTTTAAAAACATGGGGACAAAAAAAATACTTTTTAAAACAGTTAAAGGCTTATCTTTTTGTTATACAGCAGGTGTATTCAAAATATTATAATTTGGTTTAACAAGATAGTATGGAAACAAAAATAAAAACTAAACATGTTTTTGTTTCGCTACTATATCGTGTTAAACCAAATTATAGTATTCCGAATACACCTACATACGCTGTAAAATAAAAAGATGTGACTTTAACTATTTTAAAATTTCAATTTTTGTTTGTTTTTGTCCACCATATTCTTAAAATTGTTTGACGACACTAGAAGATGGAAAAAGTGTTTTCAGAAGCATATGTTGTGACTATGAAATAAAAAATAAATACTTTTGAATACATATAAAAAATTTTTTTCTTGGTTTTGCTTCTATATGTATATGGAATCGCATCCTTCATATATCATGGCAGTAGCCCGATACTGCAGTTGCCTCCTCTTCGTGACATAATCGAAAAAAGGTGTGTTTTGCCAGTGCGAAGTTGTACATATTATGTCTTTTAAAACTTACAATGCCATGTTTATAGGACAAGTATTTTAGTACTTCTCCTATTCTTACTCAGTTTTGACGATGGCGCTTTTATTTTCTGACCTGCCTCTAACTTGGCGTTCCTGAGATTCATTGAACACCTGCTGCTTTGCGCATGATCTGATGGCGTTTTTGTAACACCACAAATGAGTGCTGAGCCAAGGAAGCAACTTTTAGGCTACTTCTCGACCTTTTGCCCTCTGTGGCCTGGCACCTAGGGTAAGGTTAGTCTGTTTTAGGGATACCAAACAGTGCTTCATAGTATGTGAAAATACTTAATACCTCTTTTGCACAGTGTGTATTGTTGCTATTATTACCTGAAATATTGTCGCATGTTTACCTAGTTTCAGTGAGACAATTTTTTTTTTATTGGTTTTGGAGCCATATGTATTGCAGGTGATTTCTGCGTGAATATAAACGCCTCCATTCCATGCTTCCCTGTTGGCTCCAAAATTTAAATGTTTATTTGATACTTAAGCCACTTTCACTTAATTATATATTTACCTTGAAATTAAACTGAACGTTTGTGTTAAGCTGTGTACAGACCGCGCCAATGAATGAAAACTAACATAATTGTCTTTTGGTTACCAAACATTCGTTGGCCATCGATAATATGTTGTTGTTTAATTAAAAGTTAGTTAGTATTTGACTACAATTGGTTTTACAATGCTTTGACAAATTATGTGCAGTTATTCAGAGAGATTGGTAGGTCAAAAAACCTTTTAAATGCACAGCTAAAAATATTAAAACTGTTCGGATGTTACCGATGAAAATTCAGAAATATCGATTTCAACAAAATTTAAAAATAAATAAAATTTAAAACCATAGCAGCTTTAAAGAGTTAATGAAATGACCTTTCAAATGAAGTATCACAGGCCCCTACTTCCAATTTGAGAATATAGGGGGTTAAAGATGTCATCTGAAGAGGATTAAATTTAGGGATGCCATTTTTACGTCGCAACATGTCATTTTAGAATTAGAAATTGACACGTCATAATAATGGAGCTATTGGATTTATTCCATTTAGATGTTCCACGCCGTATTTAGTAAGTGTAATGCCAGTTAGCATTGCTTTGTTAGATACAAGTTTTTTAACTTTCTGTAAGTATATTTTAATTATACATTGTGCATCATTTCCCCTTCTTTGGGAAAAAAGATATCTACATGTACGATATAGTATATATACGACATGTAATATAAGTGGATGAGTTTATAAAAAATGTTAGGCACAAAATTATTCCCAATAAAAAGTTTTGTATTACCTAAAACGTAAAATAAAATCATCAGATATCACATTTTTTAGTCGTATACGGGTTTCGTTAAAACATAAAAAATTTGCTTAAGAATAAAGTACCTTTATTTTAAACACACCTCGTATACGACGGATAAAATTTAGTATTAGATGTTTGTATTTAAGGTTTGATCATGCACAACTTTCTTCGAAAATTAACTTTTTTCCTAAAATTATTAATAAAAAAGTTTTCCATATGATTTCAACTTAGGTAGACACACTGTACAGTATGTCTGAAAAAGTTTTACGAAAAAAAGTTATTCTTTATGAAAATCTCTGCTTGCGAAAATAATAATATTCAGGTTGTTACTTTAAAAGGGGGATTTAACCTTGTTGGTTAAATTATCTCCCGATTCCAGGGTTTTCTGTGAAGTGGTTCTGGCGCTCAAATTTATATTTTTAATTAAACAAGAGGGTTGTCTCTCTACAGTATTTTATTATCTGCAGCAAATAGATGGAGTTTGTTGTTTATAAGATATTTACAATTAATATTATAGAATAATATATTGTTTACAATAAAATCAAGCCCCGGTCTTCTGTGTGGTATGCATACTATACGTGAAGATTCACAACTAATCTTTTGGGCCATACAAAGTAAAAAGCCAGTTATTAATTTAGATAGCAAATCTATAAGTTTTATATGGATTATATATATTTTGTAGGTTATTGAAGACTACTTCCTATTTAATAAAAAGAACAATCTTAGTTTTCTCTAAGCATTATGGGTTATGGTTATGAGTACGAAAAATATATGAAAATCAATAATAAAGTGGTATATATTGTATTGCTACTACTTAGCTGCGTTCCAGTGGACTTCGGAGACTCAGGATTTCCTCAAAAGTGCATTCACTGCTTCTTAGCCTAGTGATGTCAGCCTCTATTGGATATACGTAACCTGTACCTACTAAGGAATATTCGTGAGGGTTTCTTCGAGCCCAAAGATGAATTAAGAGGGTGAATAAAGATTGGAGAACAAGACAATCTGATGCGATACGATAAGGTAAGTTATTACACGATAACTTAAGAAAAGAGACCTAAAATAATATTTTACATTTTAACAACCAGAGTAAATAAATAGAATATTTTGAATAAGTTATTTCTATAAGACTCACCTTGGCGTGACGTTAGGCCTCCAAGTGGCTTCGATAAAGTCGAAGTATTTTAAATTCTAAATCTAAGAATAATTATGAAAATTATATCTACAGTGATGTCATATTTACTAGTTTTTGTAAATATTGAAATATTCACTAAATTTATTCTAGATTTATGTAAAAATCCGCAATAATGCGAGCACGTTCTTCACGAACCAAAATGTGCGTCCTAAAAAGAAAGCTTTTCAAAAAAAGTTCCTTTTTTTTTGTTATTGACCTTAGCCGGTCTTATTAGTCTAGAGGTAAGACTATAGAAAAGATCTGGTTGTAGGTTTACCTGACAAGTTTTAGTTTCCTAATTGACAATTTTTATGTATGAGAAGAAAATAATAATCATTGAAGTTTAAACCTTTGAAATTCTAAAGGTTATGTTATTGTTATTAATTTATTCAGGGTTTAATATTTATTTTTTTCTTTCAGGAAAGTAAAGAAGATATAAAAGACCCTATTAGTGAACTAAGAAGAATTATGATGGAAGTAGAATAATTGAAATAAATTGTTATACATTGTATTAGAAGAATATCCCGAATAAAGTTAATAGTTTTACTTTGCGTTTATTTATTTTGTGTCAGCTTATTGGAAAACAGGTAAATCTACTATTTATTTTAAATTATGCCCAGAAAAGATATTCAAATTTAAATTAATTACATTTTTACAATTAACCCGTAACAAGGTATTTACATTTGACATTGCAAACAAGTATTACAAATTAAAAATTAAAAAAAACCGACTTCAAAAACGTGCAGATGCCACATCTTAATTTATATGGGACCACCCCTGAGGTACCCCCTTACTAACAAAAAAAGAATCGTATAAATCGGACAAGGTGGTAAAGCATTATCGCTAAACATACATAAAAAATGAAGAGTTTGAGGATTTTCTCATGGATCCAATCATTAGATTTTGACAAAATTTATATGGGACCACCTTTACAGTAGCCCCTTTCTAACAAAAAAATTATTGAAATCGGACACTGTGTTAAAAAATTATCGCTGAACATACATAAAAAATGAAGAGTTTGAGGATTTTCTCATGGACC